TAGGGTTTAGGGTTTAGGGTTTAGGGTTTACGGTCTGCGCTGCGGGGACGCGTAGGCCTTGCTCTGATTGAACAAACGAGAGGAGACGGGAAAAGCATCAGGTGGGAGTGTAGGTTCTAATGCTGCAGCGACTTCTAAGGCCTAGGGTCTAGGGTTTAGCTTTTGGAGTGTGGGGTTTAGGGTTTAGCGTTTAGGGTTTAGCTTGTGGGGTTTCGCGCGTACGGCGAAAAGCGCAGCACTGGCTGCTTCAAGGCGTTTCCACGCAAGCGCACTGCATTTTAGGGTTTAGGGTCGAAGATGTCGAGTCTAGGGTTTAGGGTTTAGGGTTTAGGCCGCAGTTTCTGGGGTTAACGGTTTAGGGTTTACGGTTTACGGTTCCTGGCGTCTGCTGCTGCAGACGGGTCGTTCTGCGGCAAGGCCACGACTTTGCGGCTGCTGCAGCAGGAGCAACATCCACGGCAGCAGCAGCAGCAGCGACAGCAGCAGCAGCAGCAGCAACAGCAGCAGCAACAGAGCTGCAGTCTGAAGACTCTGTACTGGGGGACGCTTCAGCAGCAGCAGCGCAGCAATGGGCCATGGCGGGGACTGTGGGGACTCAGCTGGTGAGCTGATGCGCAGCAGGGCGTAGGGTTTAGGGTTTGGGGTTCAGGGTTTGGGGTTTGCGGCTTTGGTGTGAAGACGTTAGCCGTACGTCTAGGGCTAAGGGCTTAGCGCTCAGGTTCTACCGTTTTAGTGTAGAGTGTAGGGCCTAGGGCTCACGGTTTAGGGTTTAGGGTTTAGGGTTTAGGGTTTAGGGTTTAGGGTTCGGTGCTGCAGAAGGGGCTAGGGGATGAGGGGCCTCTCAAAGCCACGGTGGCGACGCTGTGTGCCAAACAGCTCACCGAGATACGCACAGACTCCATCTGCAGAGAAGAAGAGTGCAAGGCAGTAAACCCTAAACCCTAAACCCTAAACCCTAAACCCTAAACCCTCAGTCCTAAACCCTAGTTCCTGAACCCTAAGCCCTAAACAGGCGTTCTTTTGCTGCTGGGCCCTAGGCGAAGGCAGAGGGCAGGTCCCCGCGGTCACTAACAGAGATCAAGAAACAGCAACAGAGGACGCGAGAGGAGGTAGTTTCCCTGCTGCTGCTGCGGTTGCTGCTGCTGTTGCTGCTGCTACTGTTGTTGTTGCTGCTGTTGCTGCTGCTGTTGCTGTTGCTGTTGCTGCTCCTGGTGTAGCAGCCTGTAGTTTTTTTGCTGCTTCTGGAGACTTCTGGGCGTTGCTTGCTGCTCCTGCTGGTGAACTCTTTCCATCTGGAAGTTGCGTGCGATTCGAGACTAGGGTTTAGGGTTTAGGGTTTAGGGTTTGGGCCACACGATTAAGGGTCTGGCGTTGAGAGTTGGCTGGGTTGTACGGCTTTGACTCCTCTGGCTGCATGGGTCCGTGTTGCTGCTGCTGCCCTTGCTTGCTTCTGCTGCTGCGTGTCACCATTTGCGTTGCTTTTGCTGCTGCTGCTGCTGCTGCTGCTGTACTTCCAGTCTCCGCACTGCGACGCCGAGGTGCAGTGCACCCTTTCAGGGACTGACAGGGCGGTGCGTTTTGCTGCTGCTGCTGCTGCTGCTGCTGCTGGAGTTGCTGCTGCTTGTCAGCGCTGTCCCTGCTGTTACTGCTCACGCTGCCGCTGCTGCGTCTTCTGCCCGCCCTGCTGCAGTTGCTGCTGCTGTTGCTGCTGCTGCGGTTGCGTTTGCAACAGCGGACTTGATCTTGCTTTGTTGTTGTTGCTGCTGCTGTTGCTGCTGCTGCTACTGCTGCTGCCGCTGCTGCTGCTGCTTGCCTCTGCAGGGGCTTCGGGGCCCTCCTGGAGTTTCCTCAGCGCGAGCTCGGGTGGGTGGAGTTTGTCTGTTTCATTCGTTTTAAATGATTAATATTTGTTTGATTTATTATTCAACTATTTGATTGTTTCATTTATTTTATTCCTCTGTCTGTTTGTTTATTTCTTTATTCCATTTGCTGTATTCGTTTTGTTTTATTTTTGCTGCACCCTCCAGCCTTTGTTTGGTGGCTCGTACCGGGCTGCAAAGGCGTGGCTAGCTAACTAGCTAGCTGGCCAGCTAGCCAACTATTCACTAGCTAGCTAGCT